TGTGTATATATGTGTATATGTATATATATATACACACACACACAAGTATATCAGATGTGTGACGTGAGTTTGTCTCCACAGTGTTGAGAAGATCAAAGTGCTGCTGGATGCCATCACAGCCATTTACCAACAGTTCAAGAAGGACAAAGCTGAGAGACGTGAGTCACACTCACCTATTACAATAACAACAATAATAATAATAATAACAATAATAATAACAACAACACTAATAATAATTACAATAATAATAATAATTAAAGCTGCGAGCAGCGATGAACGGGCCCTCGCAATCTGCAGCGCGCCGGGGGGCCGGCGGGACTCCGGCCTGCGCGGCCGAGAACGTCCGCGACCGTCTGACGGTGCGTCCGTGAGTGAGACGGATTTTATCTCGCGTGGACCGCCTGATGCTGGAAATGATGCTTTGCAAATAGTCCGATGCTTCCTGTATCCACTGCCTGGCACTAGAACACGTGCAAACATGCATCATGTAGCTCTGTGTCAAATGTAAACCACATTGTGTAAAAGTGATGTAAATCGGAGGTGTTTATCACAAAATGCAGATTTCCTTTCGCCAGCAGGTGGCGCTGTGAGTATTAGTGAAAATAAGCTTGTAGACATCCTCAGGCCATGAGTGTTATCAAGCATGAGAAGTTTGAGACTGTTTGAGACTGTTTAAAATTTAAAGTGGATCTGATGAAGTCCCTAGGAGGAGTTCGTTAAAGTATAGCGACTAGAAATAGGCCAAAATCTATTGAAAAATGACACATAAATGAAACTGGACGACTTCCGGTAGGGTTTAGAGCATGGTCCCAAGAGACTTATATTTAAGTCTCCATAGGATACATGTGCCTACTAAGTTTCATACATGTAGCTCAAACGTAGCGCTGGGGCTGCTGTTTTGAAATATTGTAGGGGGCGCTATAGAGGCAATTTAAAACGGCCAAGCCCAAAACCCATATACACTGTGTCTGCCTATGACCTATGACACATGTACAAAGTTCCATGAGTTTTTGAGCATCCCAAGTTACTAAACCATCAGCTTCCTTTTTCATGGCGAACAATGCGTCGCCACGGCAACAGCGTTCAACGAAAACACACAATATTCATGATAATGCATCAACAATGTCTTAAGGCTATCCGTACCAAATTTGAGACTCATCAGGTCACGTGGCTAGGAGGAATAAAGAAAAGTATAAAATATGACATTTCCTTTAGCCAGTAGGCGGCGCTATGAGTTATTGAATTGTTTTCAATTGAAGTATGTTTAGGCTTTAAGTAGCATCATGCATAAGAAGTTTTGTGCGGATTGGATAATGTACCTTGGAGTTATAACAACTTATAAGAACTTAGTTTTTCAAAAACAATGAGGCAAAATGGCCGCCACGCCACGTCAAGGTTCTTCGAGGAAAGCGCGCGATTTTGATAACTTTTAATCACAAAGGTCTTAAGAGCATCCTGACCAAAGTAGAAGTTGATCGCTTAAAATCTCTAGGAGGAGTTCGTTAAAATACGAAGGCTGAAATCTGCAAAAAGCACAACTTCGCGGGTTTGCTGTAGCGCCCCCTAGTGGTTGAATACAAAACAAATCTCAGGGTATATTACAGCATGCGATGTGCACATATGCTGCAAATCTTGGAATTTTAGGACAAACGGTTGAGAAGTTATGTGTATTGGTATTAAGCCACGCCCCTAAGAAGTTTATTGGTCCATATCTTGTAAACGAAAAGAGATATCAGAAAGCTTTTGATAACTTTTGATGAGGTAGATCCGGTAATGATCCACAGCAAATTGGGTAGTAATGGGACTAAGCATGTAGGAGGAGTTCGCAAAAATGTGTTTTACACTAAATTCAATATGGCAGAAAATCTAAGTAGGCGGAGCTTAGGAGTCTGAGAGGCTTTTTTTTAGATCTAGCGGATTGGGACATGTCTGTCGAATTTCAAGTAAATCAGAGATACTGGCCGAGGGGCGTCGCCGGTCCGATTTGTAGGGGGCGCTAGAGAGACATTTTTTTACACACAAATATGCAAATTTTGGCAGCAGAGTTTCTCCACCAGACGTGACAGGGGTGCAAAATTGGTGAGTTTTCATGAGTAGCAAGTACCCGTACAAGCTCCATCCCCACAAAAATAAAAATCATAAATAATAACCCTTACAGTTTCAATAGGGCCTTCGCAGGCCCGACGTCGGTCGCTCGGGCCCTAATGATTATAATAATGATAATAATAAGTAATTTACTGACTAATTTGATCTCTTTAAGTTAAAAAAGGTTGTTTAATATATGATGTGTTTACAGCAGCTATTTCATGTATTTTATATGTAGTATTTAAATAGTTGTTAATCTGTCTGGTTTGTTTGTGTTGCTGCTGTAACTTTCACTGAGGATCAATAAAGTTTATATTTAATATTGTGTGTTTTCAGGTCTGCCGTACAACGAAGAGCAGATCCATAAGTTTGATAAGTATGTTCACTGATCACTTTATTATCACATGTTACTGTAAACAGTAACTACATATTTATAACCTGTAACAGTCTGTTTTACTACATAATGTTTAATAATATGAAGACAAGTCTTCTTTCACATTATATGTAGTTTTATTTTGATAAACAAAAACAGAATCTTTAAGCTTCCTGAGAACAATAATTATTCATGTTTTAATAAATAAAAATCACTTCATTTTGTATTTTAGTAAACCAAATGTTTTTGTGTCTCTCTCTCTGTTTCTGTCTGTCTGTCTCTGTGTCTGTCTGTCCGTCTCTCTCTCTGTCTGTCTCTGTGTGTGTCTCTGTCTCTGTGTGTGTCTAACAGACAGAAGTTGGTGCTTCATGCCAGTAAAGCCAGATCTCTGTTCACTGAGGAGTGTGCTATGAAGTATCGTCTGTTCATCTCAAAGAGTGAGGAGTGGTTCAGGTAATCACCTCCTCACCTCCACATACACACCTCCTCACCTCCACACACACACCTCCTCACCTCCTCACACACCTCCTCACCCACACACACATCCTCACACACACACACCTCCTCACCCACACACACACACCTCCTCACCTCCTCACACACACCTCCTCACCTCCACACACACACCTCCTCACCTCCACACACACACCTCCTCACCTCCTCACACACACCTCCTCACCCACACACACCTCCTCACCCACACACCTCCTCACACACACACCTCCTCACACACCTCACACACACACCTCCTCACACACACACACCTCACCTCCTCACACACACACCTCACCTCCTCACACACACACCTCACCTCCTCACACACACACCTCACCTCCTCACACACACACCTCACCTCCTCACACACACCTCACCTCCTCACACACACACACACACACACCTCCTCACACACACCTCACACACACCTCCTCACACACACACCTCCTCACACACACCTCCTCACACACACACCTCCTCACCTCCTCACACACACTCCTCACCTCCTCACACACACACCTCCTCACACACCTCCTCACCTCCTCACACACACACCTCCTCACCTCCTCTCACACACACCTCCTCACCTCCTCACACACACACCTCCTCACACTAATGCTGCGTTCACACCAAACGCGTCGTGAATTGTTCGCGCGAGTAGATTACATACAGTCTATGCACAGACGCGATGAGACTGGCGCGGCGCGAATTTGCGATGACGCGAATTCGCGTCCATCGCGCCAAACATGTGAGTTGAAATTTTTCAACTTCTGCGAAATATTCACGTTACGCCCCGGCGTGATAGCCTATCAGCGTTGAGTTGCTCCCCCCGTCATCACTGACTTCCTGCCGTTGTTGAATCAGGAAATAAATACTGTAGCCGTCTGTGTTCACCCAGAGCTCTACGATCCCTCATATCAATAGAGACCGGTCCAAACTATGTGTATAAATGTGTGTGTGTAAACCATATGGTACAAACAATGAATAGACGCTGCCGTATTTATGTCTAGATGACGTTATTCTGAGTGTTGGTGGAGCTGCTACAATGTTAGCTTAGCATAGCACCGATCCATCAGAGCTCCATTGAGAAGACAGGTAGCCGACAAATCAGCATCATTAGTAGTTATTTAAAAAAGTCCCTTTTTGTTTGTTTATTGCCGTTAAATCACAGCCAGATCAGTTTATTTAGTGTTCATACAGCTGTAGTAAACAGCGACCTGTGGCTCACTAGACACAGTGAATACAGCTCGATAAAACACATGGAGCTCCTCTGGACAATATTATGAACCAGACATGACGGCGTTTAGTTTCCCGTGATATCTGTGACTTCCACAACACGTACTAAGCAGAAATACAGGTTATTTTTTTCATGGTTAATGGCGGACAGTTGAACGGCTTTCAGGGCGATAAGCCACGCCCCCTCTCCGGCGCGTCCAGCACGATTCGCGCGAATGTACACAAATGGTCCCCGGCGAGACCGGCGGCGCGAATGACACGAATATGCGGCGCGATGAATCCGCGTTTGGTGTGAACACGGCATAACCCTCCTCCTCTATTCACCTGCATCACCTGACAGGAAGTGAAGAGTCAACAGTGTTTTTGTGTTTTCAGGAAGGTTCATCACATGAAGAAGCAGCTGATTGGTCTGTCAGGTCAGCTGATCAGCATCGAGAAGGAGGTCACCATGCTGATGGAGAGAGCCATCAAGGTGAGACTATATCATGTATAATAATAATAATATTATAATAATAATAATGTAAAATGTATTATTTTGTGTCTCCAGCTGCAGGAACATCTGCCTCAGAAGGTTCTTCCTCTGGTGTCCAGTGGGATGAAGCCTCAGGCTTACCTGAGTCAGAACACTCTGGTGGAGATGACTCTAGGGTGAGATCTTCATCATCATCATTACATCATCATCTTCATCACATACTATGACTTTCATTCATTCATTAAGAGCTTTTTATTGGCTTCCTGAATGAGTTTAAGGGTTTCTTTAAGGTTTAAATTGATTTTAAGAGATAAAACCCTTTTATTATTATTAATAACATCAAATATTTACCTTTTAAAAAATATCCTTTAACCATTAAAATGACTAAATTTAAGGTACAGATTAAAGGCTACCTGTGATGTCATTTAGTAAATAAACATGTTTAAACCTTAATATCTTGATGTTTTTCAGGATGAAGAAGCTGAAGGAGGAGATGGAAGGAGTCGTCAAAGAGCTGGCTGAGAACAACCACTTCTTAGAAAGGTGTGTTCACTACATACAGGGTTAGCTTAGCTTAGCACAAACACTTCAGGCAGGGGGGAACTGCTAGCGTGGCTCTTTGTGTGTTATATTAGTCTGATGCAGCTATGCTAACAGTTTCCACCTGCCTCCAGTGTTTGTGCTAAGCTAGGCTAACATGCGATCATGTGACTGTTTCCTTCAGGTTCGGGACTCTGACGCTGGACGGAGGTCTGAGGGGTTAAAATAATCTGAGACTTCTTCTTCTGCAGTTTTGTACATATTCTGTGTTTCTGGTGTAAATAATCTGAAGAATGTTGTTGTTCTTCTTCAGACTTTCTGTTAGAAACAACTTTAAACGCATATTTTTACCTGAAGATCAGTGAAAGAACTGTGAAACAGAAACCCTTAAAAGAAACTCTTAATTATTAGTTTAACCCTGAAACTACATCAGACTCCTTCACACCTTAATGTGACTAAATCCCTTAAAAACACTGAAGAACGGCAGACTTTAAGGGTTCATAACTTTCCCCTGATTTAAATGTTAACGTGGAATATTTAACATATATGTTAATGATCTGTCAATTTGAGATTTAAGGTGATTTTAATGGTTAACCCTTTAAATGTGTTTTTTATTCTTTATAAACCTTTAAACTATGAAGATAGTACAAACAAAGAGGTACCTGTAATATTATTTTGTAAATATTAAGGTTTTTAAGGGTAGATTTATTACAGTCCATTAATGTTTTAGTCAGAATTTAGATTAATAATCTGGTTTAAATATCTGATAACTGATTAAGAATCCTTTAAAACGAATTTGTCAACAATAATCCTTTAACCTTAAAAACACCTTAAAATCATGAATACATTATTTGTCAAATATTTCACTTGATTGTGTAAAAAATCTTCATTTGTTAAAGTCTTAAAGTTAAGAAGATTTTTAAGGGATTTACTTTTGTTTTGCACTTTTTCTTTTAAGTAAGGGCAGATTTAAGGTGTTTGGTGTGTTTAAGGGTTAATTTAGTCTATTTTAAGGGACGTTTAATGGTTTAAGGAACAAAGTAAAGTTATAGGAACCTTTAATTTAAACCTTAAATTAAAGGGCTTAAAATGTATCAATAATAATAATAAATGAATTTTCACCTTAATTGAAATATAACATTCATGTTCTTTTATCCAGTTGAACTCTATACAAATCCTTTAACGGTGCATATAAGATCCGTTCAACTGTTAGTGGATCAACTGAAGGCATCGTAGAGAATATTAAAGGTTTAAGATTACATTTATTATTTATCAGTCGAGTTCTCGTACATCAATAAGCAACATGAAGAAGACTCTTTTTCTCACCAAGATGTTCATGTTTTGTTTTGTCTATAATCTGCATAAAAATGCTCACAAATTGTTTAAGAACTTGTAAATAAATACAAATGTTGAAGGAGTCGTCTGAATGTTTTTGTCTGTAAAGAATTCAAAGCATCAAATCTGAGACTGATAAATAGAAAATGAGCATTTTAGGATATTTAGTTTGATTTATTAAATCAAAATGATTAACTTCCGAAAACTAAGTTGTAAATTGTAATAATCTAAACTATAATACTATATTTGGACTCTGAGATTTAAGAGGTAAAGATTTTGTAATAACTATTTCACTTGTTAAGTAAATGTTTTGACTTTTATTTCATTCTCACTTGTGACTTAAAATTCTACGAATTACTTTTGGAAAAGAAAAACGAGTCATTGAGTAGAAACCAAACTGGCATTAAGTATGTAATGTTTAGCATGTTCCCCTGCATATGCTAATGTTAGCATGTGCTAACTAAGTGTCGATGTTAGTTTCTAGCATGATATGTAAAATCCAAAGTACAGCTCAGACTGAATGAATGAATTCTGACATGTTGAGCATCAAGTGTAGTGTGTGTTAGCAGCACGGTTAGCATGCTGTTAGCATTGTGACAAAATAGTTATGAATTACAAAGAAAACATGATTTTTAAGCTGCAGGTGTTTTCAACATTTTTACTTAGAAGACAAATCTAAAACAGTTCAGAATCAATGAAGGCTCTGCGTATTTATGAATTGATTAATTTATATTTTGATGATAGAACAACATGAACATTCCTCCTGACAGAAAGTTAACGGAGCTCTAGAAAAAACAAAATACTGGCAGTCTTCACTGGTTTCATCCCTCGTTTAGTTAATAAAACTTCATGTGAATAATATTACAAATTAATTCATTCCACATCTTTCTATAATAACAAGTAGGCTGCAGACTGAGAAACCCTTTAATATTAACGTCTACACGTGTTTGAGCTGCTGGTCAGTTGTAGATGTTGAATCTTTGAGTCAAAGTTTAACAGAAACTACGTCTGGAAGTAGAAAAAAGATTTTACTCAGAGAGTCGTCTGTCATCTGCAAAGTCGAAGTCTCAACCTTTCAGGCTTTTGATCGTCTTACTCATTTGTTTTTGACACATCTGACACATTACTCTGTGGGATGCTAACCTGTGTTAGCATCTAGCTAACCCAGAGATTAAAACCAAGACTAACAGAAATATACTGAGTATTTATATATTTTGAGTTAACACTCTGAGAATTCTCGTCTGTGCTGGATTAAAAGTTTGGGTTCAAAAACAACATAAATACAAAATACATGTGAACTAAATGGACCTTAAGGCAAATTGTTTTGTAAACTACGGTTAATTTACAGTTTAAGAGGAATTTATCAACTGATCTATTTGCTGATAAATATCTGCTGTATCTCATCTGGTGGCAGATAAATTAGTTTCCAAAACAGAAATGAGAGAACATCTGGAACACTTTCTGACAGCAGCTGAAAGGACTTCTTCTTCTTCTTCTCTAGCGAGTTGTGAAGTTGGAGGTATTTTCAACTTTTCTTCATGTTGGAGCTCATAATTTACATTCAACGCCAACATTTAGCTCTTATTTGGGGATCATGGTAGACGCGTTCACGTTCGCGATCCCTGTCAGGTTTAAACAAATCTGCGAATTCTACCGAAGATACTGAAGCCGAGTGAAAGACAATGATGTCCAGAAGCTCAACAAACGACAGCAGCCCTCCAGTCCGGAGCAGGAAGAGAGGCCAATGCCCACCTCCAAGGCCAGCACTGACCATCATATCTCTCAATGTTGAAGGACTGTCTACAACTAAAGAAGAACTTCTTGCAAAACTCTGCAAAGTATACCAGTGCGATATTCTCTGCCTACAGGAAACTCACCGTGGACCAGAAAATCATCGCCCCTGTGTGGAAGGTATGACCACCCTCATAGAAAGACCACATAAGAAATATGGCAGCATCATGCTAGCAAAAAATGGGACAATTGCCGAATCAACATCAAAGAGCGATGAAAACAACATTAAAGTCCTAACCACTGAGCTCAGGAGTTACCATCACCTCAGTCTACAAACCACCCCCCATACCTATGGAGATGCCTGAAATACCACCATCCGGAAAACCGAAGATTGTGATAGGAGATTTCAACAGCCACAGCACGCAATGGGGATACGCTAACAACAACACAGATGGAGATGCTGTAGAAATGTGGGCTGAAAACTGCCAGCTTAATCTGATCCACGACGCAAAACAACCAAAGTCCTTCAACAGTGGACGATGGACAGCAGGTTACAACCCTAATATCGTGTTTGTCAGCCACAACATCGCCGGATTAAGCAAAAAGCTGGCCTTGGAGCCACTGCCAAGGACCCAACACCGTCCCATCGGCATCACAGTCAACGCTGCAATAACCCCAGCCACAGTTCCATTCCGAAGAAGATTCAACTTTGGAAAAGCGAACTGGCCTGGCTTCCAAGAACATCTTGAAAGGAAGATTGCCCATCTCCCAGCAGACCCCAGGAACTATGACAAACTCACTTGTGCACGAAGCAGCAAGCAAGAACATCCCAAGAGGATGCCGCACTCAATACATCCCGGGCCTTGACACTACAAGTACCGAACTGTACGAGCGATACCAACAGCTCTATGAATCTGACCCCTTTGCTGAAACTACCACCGAAGTAGATGAGACTCATGACCTCCATTTCAGAACGCCGCCAGCTGAAGTGGAAAAACCTGCTGGAGACAACTGATATGGCAAAGAATAGCAAAAAGGCATGGAGCCTCATCCGAAAAATCAGCAATGATCCATCAACCGCAACTCGGCAACAATATACGACCACTGCCAACCAAGTTGCGCACCAGCTGCTGCTCAATGGAAAACCCACCACTAAACAGCCAAGACTAAAGGTAGATCGAGTGAAGCACTCCCAAACCATGGGACTGACCAAGCCGTTCTCCCCTGAAGAGCTCAATATCAGCATCAACACCCTTAAAACTGGCAAAGCCATCGGACTGGATAACATTTTCACTGAAGAGATCAAGCATTTTGGACCTCTGATAAGGAAATGGATCCTCGAGCTGATGAATAAGTGCATGCTGACAAAAAACATCCCAAAAATCTGGAGGAAAACCAGGATTATTGCCCTTCTCAAACCAGGCAAAGACCCAACGCATGCAAAGAGCTTCCGCCCAATCTCTCTGCTATGCCACCTCTCCAAGCTGTTTGAGCGCTTGATCCTCAACAGGCTTGCCCCTGTTGCTGAACCAGCCATCATACCTCAACAAGCCGGATTCCGACCTGGCAAATTTACAACAAGCCAACTTCTGAACCTCACTCAACACATCGAGGACGGATTCCAGAAAGGACTGGTAACAGGAGCCGTCTTTGTTGATTTGTCTGCCGCATATGACACAGTGAACCACCGCCTCCTCCTAAAAAAGATCTTGGAGTTGACAAAAGACCTGGCACTCACAGACCTCATTGGAGCCCTTCTGAAAGACAGGTGCTTCTTTGTTGTCCTGAATAACAAGCAGAGTCGCTGGCGACAACAACGGAATGGCCTACCTCAAGGTAGTGTGCTGGCCCTACTACTGTATAACATCAACACCAACAACCAGCCAATGGACCAGTACACTGAGCGGTTCAACTATGCAGACGATCTCTGTGTAACATCTCAAGAGAACTTGTTCGAAGCAGTAGAATCAAACCTCACCACAGCCCTAGAGGAGCTACTCCTCTATTACGAGCGCAACCACCTACATGCCAACCCTGCAAAGACCCAAGTCTGGTCCCTCCATCTCAGGAACCGTGAAGCCAACCGACCACTTAACATCAAATGGTCTGGAACACCACTTGAGCACTGTACCCACCCTGTCTACCTTGGAGTAACCCTGGATCGTACTCTCTCCTTTAAGGAGCACATCAACAACACAAAATCCAAAGTCGGTTCCCGAAACAACATTCTACGGAAACTGATCAACTCCAAATGGGGAGCCACAGCACACACATTAAGATCTACTGCTCTGGCCCTGTGCTATTCCTCTGCGGAATATGCATGCCCTGTTTGGGAGAGGTCAACCCATGCCAAGAAACTTGACCCAGCACTGAACAACACCTGCCGCCTGATCACTGGCTCCTTGAAACCCACCAACACAAGCAACCTTCACCTCCTCGCTGGCATTGCCCCTGCTGATATTAGACGGGAAGTTGCCAGCCGAGTCGAGAAAACAAAATCCACTAGTGATGAACGCCATCTCCTCCATGGATGTCACCCTCCGGCCCAACGGCTAAAATCAAGAAGAAGCTTTCTCAGCCATGTCCAGCCCCTAATAAAATCTCGGGAAGAAACCAGAATCCAACTCTGGAGGGAAAAGCTTGAGAATGACTCTACTCCAACTGTCATGGGAACACCCCCCACTGAAAACCTTCCCCCTGGCCCAGAAGCACCATGGGCTCAATGGAAAACACTAAACCGCCTCAGAACAAGAACGGGACGATCAAAAGCTGCTCTGGTCAGATGGGGCTACAAGGCTGGCCCAACCACATGTGAATGTGGAGAAGCAGACCATACTATGGAGCATTGCCTTGTCTGCCCTCTACTACCCAACCCTGAGACTCAAAAGACCTTGCAGTGTTCAAGAGGACGGAGGGGGTGGACAGAGCCTTCTCCATATCTGCCCCCTCCCTCTGGAACTCTCTCCCCAAACATATCCGAGACTGCACTGACCTTTCCATATTCAAATCCCAAATCAAAACCCACCTGTTCAAAACTGCTTTTAATGTGTGACTGATACTGTGTATTTCATGTTTTTAGTGTATTGCTTTTATATATGATGATTTTAATGTAAAGTGTCTGAGTATTATGAAAAGCGCTATATAAATAAAATGTATTATTATTATTATTATTATTATTAATAAAAATGCAAAGGACTGTGTAAAGAAATGGGAAACTGTCATATAACCATCATGCTTCAGTGAAACGAAAAGAAGCTTTTATTTAGGATTTAGGATCTGTTCATATTTGCTTTTTTATTAACCACGATCTTTTAAACCATAAAACTAACAGTGTGTCGGTTACCTAACATTAACTATACTTGAGTCATAGTTTATCTCCCAAAACCACAATCTTTTCTTCCTTAACCATATTTTTACTAATTTTGAAAAGTAACCCAAACACAAAACTGTTGTGAATAAATATATTCCAGGTTTGCGGAGTCATGTTTTAGTCGTTGCTACATTCATCTAAAACTGATTCAGAATTTGAAAGTGAATCAATTTAAACTGAAGTTTATCTCGATAGTTGAAGTTAAAGATTTAAATTTAAATAATTGTTAAGTCACTTTTTATCTCCGAACGACGTGATTATAACCCACTGATGAAAGTATTATAATAATAATGCAAACCGAACATTTTCTTCTGCTGCAGCACATTAGAAGAGTTTCATCTTTTATTATTAAATAGTCACAGTGAACTATTCTTCATCAAAAAGTGTCTATAAAACCAGACGACAGCCATTTTGGATCAGATTGAATCCATGTGTCAGTGATTAAAACTAAAACTACTTCATCTGATTACTGCTCACAGAACGATGGAATAAAGCAGATTATAATCTAACTTTTCCATTAAAATAATTCTTAGTTTTTGTTCCCTCAGTATTCTGGGACTCATTGTATTAAACCTCATGTTTCCAAATCAACAGGACTGAAATCTGAATGATTCCCAGTTTAACATCGTTGTCTCTTTATGTTCATCTAAGAGTTGGAGGTGTTTGAAGTCACATATATGCTAACAACACGTGTAGCTCCTCCCACTTCACCACTCTAGAGCAGGGGTCTTCAACGTTTTTCAGGCCAAGGACCCCCAAACTGATAGAGAGATGGAGCAGGGACCCCCGACTATATATATTGTATAAAATTGTGTTTTATATTAAATGGGCCTAGTGCCATGTATAAACATACCTCTTTATTGTGCATTCAGTACTAAGCTATTCAAATAATACACAGGTTCATATATTCATGTTTTCATTTTAAATGGCCGTGCCACTGCCATTTATAAACTTACCTTGTCAACTGATACCAATGCCAATATCAACATTGTCTGTCAATAGCATGATAATCATGCATACAAGATATTCAAATTGATGTTTTCATTTTAAATGTGGAAATGAAAAATGAGTGATGGCCTATTAGTACCACTGCCATGCATAAAGATACCTGTTATCTTTCATACAATACTGAACTATTAAAATAATGGACAGATTGATGTTTAGAGAATTATTCTTATTTTTTTTTTTTTCTAATCAACGAAAAATTCCGCGGACCCCCTGTTGAAGACCTCTGCTCTAGACCTCTGCTCTAGAGCCTCCACTTGTGTTTACTGGACAACATGTGGAGAAACTCAGAGAGGACTCGGTTCAGTTTACCTGAACAAACAAAGCAGACGCTAATGTTAGCTTCAACCACGTACATTACTGCCGCAAACCAGATGCATTTACAACCAGACAGATGGCCACAGACGATGTTAGCTAGCTAGCTAACAAGCTGACATTAGAAAAACAGAATCTCATGCATCAATGACACAAAAAGAAAAGCAGTTCATAAAAAACATATCGCAGAAATAAATTATGATTAAAATCTGAAATATAAAAACCGCCAATATGGCTGCCAGAAGGTTACATCATAGAGAAAGCCCTTCATACAATCTGAACTCGTCGTGGTTGAATAAAAGGTTAGCGTGTTAGCGTCAGCATCCTTAGCATGTTGGTCCCCAGCATGTTGGTCCTTAGCATGTTGGTCCTTAGCGTGTTGGTCTTTAGCATGTTAGTCCTTAGCATGTTAGTCCTTAGCGTGTTGGTCCTTAGCATGTTGGTCCTTAGCTAGGTTGCTTGCTAACACTGATGTGCTGTTGAAGAAAAAGTTTCAGAACTTTCCAAATCGTCCCAACTCACTTAGACGAAAGTGTTGGGAGGGTTGGCGTTGGTGGTCCAGGCCACCTTCTTTTCTTTCGCCTCTCGGCCAAACGCATCGTAAACCGAGTCCTTGGCGACTGTCTTCGCCTGCTCGGGGATCTCCACCACCCCGATGTAGTTCTTCTTGGCCACGCGAGAGCTCACCGTGATGGTGTAAGCGTTGCTGCGGTAGCATTTCATGGAGGACATGCAGAAGGTCTCCCTCATGCCCCTCCTGAAGTTGGCGTTGTAGACGGAGTACATAGTGGGCTTGGATGCCGTGGAGCTGAAGGAGATCCAGGCGATGGCCGTGAAGAACAGCAGCCCCTTCCTACTGGGTCCGTCGGACTCCCTCGGGTGCCACAGCTGGGCGACATAGAACGGCGTCCAGGTGAGGAAGAAAACTGAATTCAACACGAGGAACATCTTGATGGTCTTGACTTTAGTCCGCGGGACGATGTTCATCGTCCGCCGCACCGTGTGTCCGTCGGCGCTGATCCTCCAGATGTAGCGAACCACCCGTTGGTAGAACGACACGATCAGCGCCACCGGCACCAAGAAACCAACCAGGAGGTGAACGGCGGCGTAGGCTACGCTGCCCCAGCTGTCCGGGAGGAAGAAGTCACAGTGACTGCTGCCTGTAGACGTAGAGCCGTAGAAGAAGAGGCAGGGCGACACAAAGGCAGCGTCAAACAGCCACGAGGCTACGATCATCTTTTTGGCTTTCTCTCTGGACACCTTGAAGCTGAGCGGGTAGACGATAGTGTAGAAGCGGTCTACGGAGATGGACAGCAGGACGTAGACCTGCACACCTGGGCACAGGTGCTGCAGGTAGCGCACGGCCTTGCAAGCCGCGGCGCTCAGCGGCCATCGGCCTGAGGCTACCTGTAGGAGGATGAAGGGCGCCCAACCCAGGCTCATGAGCAGGTCTGCACACGCCATAGACACCACAAAGTAGTTGGTGGTGGACTGAGTCCGGCGGCTCCGGTGGATGACCAGGCAGACGAGGGCATTTCCCAGGATGGACACCAACCAGAGAACTGAGAACACCAAACCCAGGACGGCGACCTCGCCGGATGTCAGCTCGTAGGAGACGGACGTCCCGTTCGGCCTACTGGACAACGAGCCCTCGAGGCTGCAGAGGGGGGTTGTGGGTAAGGTTGCCAGGACAGTCGAGTTCTCCCTCTCAGAGTAGTTAAATGACATCTGATACATGAAAGATCGATAGCGAAGGGAGGGATTGACACCAACTGTGTTTGATGACTGGGCATACACCATAGTTTTACAGCTGCACCAGAGAGGAGCTGTGGACACAAAGACACAAAGTCCTCGTTAGAAGATCACTAGTTTGATTGGTTGGTAGTCTGGTTCTAGTAGGTTGGTTGGTAGTCTGGTGCTAGTAGGATGGTTGGTTGGTAGTCTGGTTCTAGTAGGTTGGTTGGTTAGTAGTCTGGTTCTAGCAGGTTGGTTGGTTGGTAGGATGGTTGGTAGTCTGGTCTTAGTAGGATGGTTGGTTGGTAGTCTGGTTCTAGTAGGTTGGTTGGTTGGTAGTCTGGTTCTAGTAGGTTGGTTGGTAGTCTGGTTCTAGTAGGATGGTTGGTAGTCTGGTTCTAGTAGGATGGTTGGTTGGTAGTCTGGTTCTAGTAGGATGGTTGGTTAGTAGTCTGATTCTAGTAGGTTGGTTGGTAGTCTGGTTCTAGTAGGATGGTTGGTTTGTAGTCTGGTTCTAGTAGGTTGGTTGGTTGTCTGGTTCTATTAGGATGGTTGGTTGGTAGTCTGGTTCTATTAGGATGGTTGGTTGGTAGTCTGGTTCTAGTAGGTTGGTTGGTTGGTAGTCTGGTTCTATTAAGATGGTTGGTTGGTAGTCTAGTTCTAGTAGGTTGGTTGCTAGTAGTCTGGTTGTATTTGGTTGGTTGATAGTTTGGTTCTAGTAGGTTCGTATTACAGTGATGTTCTGTAGTAGCTAAAAGAACCTCTATGAGGATCTGTCTTCCTCTTAGGGTTTGTAGTTAATAGAGACTTGTAGAGGACTGATGGGATGTTTCTAATGAAGAGACTCAACATGGCCGACAGGAACAACAACACACCTCAGTTATCTGTTGAGTATTTAAATAATGTGATGAAGACGTGGTTCCTCTTCAGAAATCACATCTGGAGGTCTGAAGTCTGAACAAACTGGTTTTATATTTTCATTCATCTCTTAAACATGAATAACATGAAATAATGAAGCTGGTCTCTTGACATCAGGTAGATTTAATTAGTCCTTCAGAGTCCACAGGGATCCAGACCTCCTCTGAGGGAGACCATTAGAGGAGAAGAGCTCTGTTTATAGCAACCTGCTGGTTATTATGGGAACCAGTGGAACCAGTAACATTCTCACATAAAGTCTCTGGTTAGATTATGAATTATTTATGAAAAATAATCTTTAAAGAGACAGAAAGTTATACGTTAAATTATTTAAGTTAAAATAATTTCACTTCTCTGACACAAGTAGAAGTATAAAGAAATACAATACTTGTACTTGAGAGTAAATCTCTATGTGTATATATAATGTACTGCAGTAAAAAGTACAACGTTGTCCTTTAAAATGAAGTCTAATCAATCATTTTCCTGTCGATCAACGAGTCGATTGATTGTTTCAGGTCTTAAATAAAGTACTTTAAATGTGTACTTCATAGCAGTATTTGACTCCTATTCCAATACACCGTTGTACTACGTATAGTACACATCTTCTATGATATCAGATGTTTATTTTTATGTTGTTTGTTTATTTACATTATTTACAGATTAAAAACAACAAACATGAAGCTTTAAATGAGACCTGATGTCATTCATGGAAAAACACTGAGCTCTTCATCTTCATCATCTGCATCATCTTCATCTCATTCTACATCATGTGGAGCTGAACATTTTATTTAAATATGATTATTAATATTTTATCAGATTGTTAATTAAACATTTGATCTTCTTATGATGATCCATCAGATATTAATAAACAATCTTTATCATCTTCATCATCTTCATCTTCATCATGTAACCGGCTACAACACGTCTGATTCACCGAGATGGATGAAGATGATTAAGATGAAGAAGATGAAGAAGCAGCAGGAACACATAACAACACGATTCTCACACACACACACACACACACACACACACACACACACACATTTATATATATATATATAGAAATGTGTGTGTATACATATATACATATATATGTGTATATATGTATATATTTATATATAATAACAGTAATGATGATGAAGATGATAACGGGATGTTCCTCCGGTGCTCCGCAGCTCATCAGTCCGTCTTTAGACGTCTGAACTCGGCCGCTCTGTCTCGCTCGTGTCGCTGATCGAGCTCCGTGATTCTTTAGAGACTCACCGGATCACTGCAGCGGGAACAGACGCTTCATTCTCTGGGTTTCTCTCTCCGGGATCCGGTTCAGACGGAGGAGGAGGAGGAGGAAGAGGAGAAGAAGAGGAGGAGACGAGGAGGAAGAGGAGAAGAAGAGGAGGTCCGTGAAGGAAGCACACAGCATGGGTGTTTGTCCACCTGTCTGTCTCTCTCTCCTGTCTGTCTCTGTACTGCGTGTGCAGCTGGAGGATGAAGAAGCAGCTGATGATGAAGAGGAGGATGAATATTTTCTAACAGGAGCGAACGAACGAGATCTGAGGCTCAAAGACCCCCCCCCCCCCCTACATACACACACACACACACACACACACATCAATCAATTAATCAATAAATCAATAGAACGCAAATTTACATACAAACATATACATAATCAATATATATAAATACACAAATACATATCAATATATTATCAATATATATATATACACATAAATATATATATATACACATAAATATATATAAATACACATACATATATACATATACAAATACACATAAATATAGATAAATATATATAAATACACATAAATATACATAAATATATATAAATACACAAATACACATAAATATACATAAATATATATATAAATATACATAAATATATATAAATATATATAAATACACATAAATATATATAAATATACATAAATATATATAGATATATATAAATATATATAAATATACATAAATACACAAATACACATAAATATACATAAATATATATATAAATATACATAAATATATATAAATATATATAAATATACATAAATATATATAAATACACATAAATATATATAAATATACATAAATATATATAGATATATATAAATATATATAAATATACATAAATATATATAAATATACATAAATACATATAAATATACATAAATATATATAAATATACATAAATACATATAAATATATATAAATATATATAAATATACATAAATATATATAAATATATATAAATACACATACATATATACATATATATAAATACACATACACACATACATTTACATAAATATATATAAATACACATAAATATATATAAATACACATAAATATACATAAATATATATAAATATACATAAATGTATATAAATATACATAAATATATATAAATATATATCAATATACATAAATATATATAAATACACATAAATATACATAAATATATATAAATATACATAAATATACATAAATATATATAAATACACATAAATATACATAAATATATATATAAATATACATAAATATATATAAATACACATAAATACACATAAATATACATAAATATATATAAATATACATAAATATATATAAATATATATAAATATACATAAATATATATAAATACACATAAATATACATAAATATATATAAATATACATAAATATATATTAATATATATAAATATACATAAATATATATAAATATATATATAAATATACATGGAGGAAGAGGAGGACTAGGAGGAGGGTTGTGTTGATCAAGTTATTGATTGATTATTACGATCGTGATGACATCATCTCTATAAGAGGAAACAAAGTCTGATGATGACGCACCACGTCACCATGGCAACCAACAGGCCAGTCGCTATGGGAACAATGACGCTGATGGGAGGGAGGAGGACGAGGAGGAGGAGGAGGAGGAGGATAATAAAATATCAGCTCATTTATACAAAACAAACATTTTGTTTTACATATTAAAAACAATTAAAATGTAGTTTTTTAATCTGCCTCAATAAACATGAACATTGTTTATATATATATATATATATATATATATAATTATATGTATATAATTATATATATATACTAGAAAATGCATTTCCTCCTGAAAATGCGTTGGAATGCTGAAAGCTGAAATGAATTGTAAAACAATTGCTGAAAATTAAGAAATGGGAGACTACCTGTCTGGAAAATGTTGAAGCCCAAAAGCATTTAAACTGCACTGCTGAAAACCCTTCTCGTTGAAATGTCTAACTATGGTGTCTGTAGCTGAAAGTATGAGGAAGAAGAAGGCTTTGAAAGTTGAAGAAGTTTAACAGGATTTGAAGATTTTCTCCATAGAGATCCCATTGAAAAGAAAATTGCAAAAAGCTTAATAATTCAAAAAGTTTAAAGATTACAAATATGAAAAGTCAAAGCACCCCTCTCCTGAAACAAGGCACAATGCCTCCAAGTCTTATGTGTGTAGAGAGACAGACAGAGAGAGCCTGTGTGCGTGCGTGTAACTGGTTGCCATGGTGAGGACGCACCTGTTGGAGAGTCTGTGAGTCTGATAAAACAGGGAAACACCTCTCAAACAAATCATCAAAACTCCCATAACCGTAGCTCCTATTGCTCCGATATTAATAAATGAGAGGAAGGATGAGTTGAAGAACAGATCCTGTAAAAATTGTGTCTGTAGTGCAGTGGCGGGTAGTGCATTGTATACCTGGGCCTTCCCTGCTGTCCTGCAGCTGAAATACCACCTTATAACCACATGATGGCGCCACAGCTATTGTTCGTTTTTAAGGCTGTAACTATGTACATCTTCGTATTAAACCGTTCGGTACGAGTCATTTGAATAATGCTAGAGCATTTAGAAAATGCAAAAGCCTAAATTCAGAAAAGTATAATGTTTTCAGCTAGTCTGGCTGTGCGATCCACAGTCATTCCTTAATGAGAAGCCGCGACACAAAGAGATTATCATAGGATTTTACTTTCACAACTTGAACGTTGAACGTACTGCTCTGAAATGTCTTTCCTCATCTCAGTCTCCTGTGTCATGGTGTGTGGTACATCTCACGCAGTAAGAATGCCCATATTTGATTGGCTGAGCTGCATCACCTGATGTGATTCACACCCGACAGCCTCTGCTGTTAAGTTTCAGAGCTGCACATGGACACTGAGCGGCATGTAATGCTGACGTCATTATAGGCCGGCTAGAAGGCTCTGATAGATCAAAGAATACGCCCAACATGTCAAACTAAAGATCTGATTGGTTGAACACTATGACAATCAACAATATCGTCCCCATTCACTTAAACTGCACATGGATTCACTTGTGAGTCTGCAGGCCTCGGGCCTCTCTTCTTACCTAGAGACACAGAGGTGAGATCTGATTGGATAAAAGCTCTACTTAAAACAAGCTACACTGGAAGCAGAGCAACTGAGGAAGACAGGAGCTGTGCAATGAGAACATAAGATAATGGGGAAATATTTATATAAATTATAATGCATGTAGTGTATTTAAGAAAGATTATTAAATTATAAAATAGATATAACTTTGTGATTCTGTTTAGGCCCTGACAGCCCACCACTGGTGTAGTGTAAAAAATGTGGCTGAACTGGCGATCTAGAAATGGGGTACCGTGTTCTGTGGAAGATGTTTTTGAAGCAAAATTTAACATTGGTCTCTATGGAGCAGAAAGTTGGTTTTCCTCTCAATTACAGGCTTCTGTGCCAAATGTGTAAATCTGTGGGATTCCACAGTCATCTGTCTACAACAAGGACAAGATTAGCTACTTTTACATCCAGAAATTATGCATGAAGAGTGAAGATTGTGGACTCAGTGGCAAAATCTTTTTTTCACAAGAATCTCAAGCTGCTCTTCACTCTAGCGGTGACATCACGCACTCTAAGCTGCGCAATACACACCCATTATAAAGTTAGAAAAGAACTGAAAAAATCATAAAAGTTAAATTGCTACAGTTCAAAAAGTGTAAAAGATATCAAAAAGCGGAATCATTCTGCAATAGGTCAGGGTTTCTCAACATTTCAAAGTTGAAATGGTGCCTGTAGCTGAAAGTATGAGGAAGTAGAGGATTTGAAAGTTGAAAAAGTTTAAGAGGATTTGAAAATATTCTCCATAGACATCCCATTCAAAAAAAAGGTGCAAAAAGCTTAATAATTCAAAAAGTTTCAAGGTTAGAAATATGAAAAGTCATAGCAGACATGAGCTGAAAGAGCTGAACATTTTGATAGTTGAACGGTTTCTGTTAAAAAATGTGGAAGGAGTTAAGTAGCAAAAAGCGTACGGAAGAAATATAATATAAAGAGGAATAAAGATTTGAAGAACAATACTTGGAGTGCTTAACAGCATTCCAACAATAAATCAAAACATTAGATGTGTTTCTGGTCTCCTCTCTTCCAGTCCAGCAGGGGGTGGTCTGCAACTTTTCCTGCACCAGAATAAGAAGAAGAAGAAGAGCTGACGTCACCACGCAACGTGAACAGGAAACACGATGTAAACAAAGAAACAGCGTCACGTTGGTTATCTCTGTTTTCTTTGGTCCGTTTGTGTTCCAGTGACTCCTCATCATTATATTATATTAATATTAATATTTAGTTTATTGTTCATCAGCAGTTTTATCTCGCAGCTAACGCGAGCTAAGCTACCAGCACGTTAGCATTCAGCAACATGGATGATAACAAGGTAAGAAGCTAACGGCTAACAGCTAATGGCTAACACACACTTTATATTATGTAATCATCTTTAGCGTGTTAGAGACTGGTGGTTCATTTAATACAGTTTAACGGTAACCAGCTAGCTGTGATGCTAACTGTACGTGAAGAGATGCGAACGCTATCGTTAGCATCTCTTCACGCATAGTTAGCATCACAGCTAGCTGGTTACAGTTCTGTAATCAGCTAGCTGCTACAGAAGACATCTTAACGTAGTATTCTGTGTTTTTACTACAGTAAAAGTACAATAGATGTACTGCATTTATTATTGTACTTCAATACAAATATAAAAGTATGAACATCAAACTATAAAACTTTATTAAATCGTCACATTCATACAGATGCACATTAATAATGAGGATTAAAACAGAAATTATTATTATTATTAGCATTAATGTGTTCATCACTTTAAAGATGGACCTCATTTGAATGACTTCATATCCTGTAAGTTATGATGAGTCATCACTGATCAATAACTGTATTGATCAGATGGTGGCTGGTAAAGTGAAGAAACCGGGGAAACGCGGCCGTAAACCAGCAAAAATCGACCTGAAGGCCAAACTGGAGCGAAGCCGTCAGAGCGCCAGAGAGTGTCGAGCCAGGAAGAAGCTCCGGTACCAGTACCTGGAGGAACTGGTCTCCAGTAAGGAGAGGGCCATCTGTGCTCTGAGGGAGGAGCTAGAGATGGTGAGTCACTAGAGGGAGGAGCTATAGACGGTGAGTCACTAGAGGGAGGAGCTATAGACGGGGCGTCACTAGAGAAGGTGAGTCACTAGAGGGAGGAACTAGAGAAGGTGATTTACTCGAGGGAGGAGCTAGAGAAGGTGATTTACTCGAGGGAGGAGCTAGAGGTGGTGATTCACTAGAGGGAGGAGCTAGAGACAGGGAGTCACTAGAGGGAGGAGCTATAGACCTGGAGGCGGTGAGTCACTAGAAGGTGGAGCTATAGATGGTGATTCACTAGAGGGAGGAGCTAGAGACGGTGATTCACTAGAGGGAGGAGCTAGAGACGGTGATTCACTAGAGGGAGGAGCTAGAGACGGTGATTCACTAGAGGGAGGAGCTAGAGACGGTGATTCACTAGAGGGAGGACCTAGAGACGGGGAGTCACTAGAGGGAGGACCTAGAGACCGGGAGTCACTAGAGGGAGGAGCTCTAGATGGGGAGTCACTAGAGGGAGGAGCTAAAGACGGGGAGTCGCTAGAGGGAGGAGCTAGAGGCGGTGAGTCGCTAGAGGGTGGAGCTATAGACGGGGAGTCACTAGAGGGTGGAGCTATAGACGGGGAGTCACTAGAGGGTGGAGCTATAGACGGGGAGTCACTAGAGGGAGGAGCTAGAGGCGGTGAGTCACTAGAGGGAGGAGCTAGAGGCGGTGAGTCACTAGAGGGGGGAGCTAGAGGTGGTGAGTCACTAGAGGGGGGAGCTAGAGACGGGGAGTCACTAGAGGGAGGAGCTAGAGACGGGGAGTCACTAGAGGGAGGACCTAGAGACGGGGAGTCACTAGAGGGAGGAGCTCTAGACGGGGAGTCACTAGAGGGAGGAGCTAGAGGCGGTGAGTCACTAGAGGGAGGAGCTAGAGATGGGGATTCCCTCGAGGGAGGAGCTAGAGACAGGGAGTCACTAGAGGGAGGACCTAGAGACGGGGAGTCACTAGAGGGAGGAGCTAGAGGCGGTGAGTCACTAGAGGGAGGAGCTAGAGGCGGTGAGTCACCAGAGGGAGTAAAGAAAAGAATCCACATTTCTTCATTATTCTTGTGTGTAAACAAATATTCTTGAGTTTGTAAATCTTTAAAACACATTCTCAGCTAATCTCTCATTGATGACCCTGTTCTTGTGATCAAACTTTGTATGACATCACTACTTTAATAGTACACGAGTGAGTACTATAATACTGAAATTAGGAACATTGAGAGGAGGAGTCTGTCTTTGGAGTATTTATTCTCTATCGTCACACAGAGTGCTGTGTAGTCTGCATGAGGACGAGCCATGAGTCCAGTGTCTCTGTAGCTTATAAAGGACCTGAGCACAGGGTGGGGGGGCAGCATGAGTTCACACTAAAACATCTGGTCTACAGTTTCTAACTGCCCATTGACCTCCATTGATCCTCTTCTCTCTTCTGAGCCTTTGTCCCACTGAGACATCTGTCTTTATTACCCGTGTCTCTGGTCCTTATCTATGAGAGTAAAAAGATCAAACAATAGAAACAGGTAAATACAGTTTCAGCTTCAGGTTGACTCACTGGTCTCTCTGTGTCTCAGTACAAACAGTGGTGCTCAGCCATGGATCAGGTTCAGGTCCAGCTTGACTCAGTGTGGTCTCTCTGTGTTCTGGTCTCAGTGGACTCACTGGTCTCTCTCTGTCTCTCTGTGTCTCAGTATAAACAGTGGTGCTCAGCCATGGATCAGGGGAAGATCCCCTCAGAGATCAAAGCTCTGCTGACCGGAGACGAACAGAAAACTCCTCAAGGAGGCAGCAGCACCAAGACCAGGACCAGCAAGACCAGCATCAGCAGTAACGGGCAGAGCTGAACCAGTCTGACGGACAGGAAGACTACATGACAGGAAATAACATAATAATACACAACACAACAGGACCCATTAACCCTCTCAGCTCTCCTCGCAAGTGAAACACGTGAAACTTCTTTATAAAAAGTCTTCACACTGTCATGTGATTTATTATAAATACATTAATACTTCTTTTCATCCATAAATCAGGTTCTTCAGACCTGAGAGAAACTGACAGGAATTATTTTAGAACATTGTGAACTGTTCAGATGATAAAGTTCATGAATCCATGAATGTTAACCCAACAGAGTTATCATTGTTATCAATAACGTATTTAAATACAGCGAGACGAAGCTCATTGGCTGTTGGCTGCTGGAGGAGGCGGGGCCAAAAAACACGCCAATAAATCTTCTTCACTTCACTTTAAAATGTTAATTTATTAAATATTTATTCCAAAAGAAGAACAAACAGAAAAAATGAATCGATAAAAAGAATGAATCTCACATTTATAAAAATAATAAAATTCCTTATTGTTAAACTAAAATGAACTCAAATATTTTAACCATTAAAGATCATAATAATTATTTACTAATCATTCGTGCTTTTTTATTTTTCATGTAAAATGTTTGAGTCTGTTTGAGTCTCTACAAACATTGTTTGATCTTAATGAACCTCAAACATCCTCTAAGAACAGTTTTCACTCTTCTCAAATAATTCTGTTTGTTTTTAGAACAAATCAACACCAACATATTGCTCCTTTAATGTTATTATTTATTGATTAATGCGTCACATGACTGATCTGAAAGCTTTGTGTTGTCCAATGTGAGTCTGACTTCGTCGTCCTGATCTCATTAACATGTCATTAACATCTCATTACCTGTACAGTGATGCTGGAGCTGGATATATTTTTGTATTTGTATATTTTATATTTGTGTTCCTCTGATCGATGATGAAGATGAAGATGCTTCTCTTTATTTATCTTTGTTGCAGATTCATAATCTTCTAAACTTTTGTGTTTCTGATGAAACTTTGTGCACTTTGTTGTTTTTCTGCAAAAGCACTTTGTGAAATGATTTTAGTTTGAACAGAAAATAAAGACTTTCTGTGAAATCATCAGATTCTACTGTCATGTTTATTATTGATCAGCAGACTGGAGAATGTTACACAACAATCAATAGAAATGTTATTCATAGCACTGGTCAGAACAAAGTTACAAAGTATTTTACAAGACTAAATAAAAACATTTAGACGTTGTTACAACGTTATGAATCAATATGACTCCTAATCTGTATTCATATGATTTAATAGGTAAACCCTGAAAAACAAGAGTCCGATAGGACGATTACGGTCAATATAAAAAATATTTATCATGAATGATTTATTCTAATGCTTAACTAGATCTTTAACTTTCACATTTTAAAGGTTTTACCTACATTGCAAATTTTTTTACTAATATAATGATGTGGTTTAATTCATATAAAGTTGATATTCTGTACAATAGAGGTTTATTTAAAATAATACCATCATAATATATATATTTATATTTAAATCTTAAGGGGGAAACAATATGACTTTAGTTTATAAAGACTGATATTTTTTATTTCAAGGGAAAGTTGTCTTTACTTTCTATCATCTCTTTCATTTTTCTGAGCTCAGATTTAACGGAAACATTTTCAAAAGAATCTCAACAAAAGGTCCGTTTAGTGGCTGGAGCTTTCGATCAGTATCGCATGGTCTTCCTCAGCAGTTGGAGTTTGCTGCAGGATGGAGATCAGACCTGGATGCACCAATAAAACAGGTCAGAACCTTTCATGTAGCTCTGAGTCTGGTTTCCAGCTGAGCGGTTTCAGACTCTCGTGGTCTCTTTCATCATTTATTCTCATTCATCAGCCGGAGTTAGCCATGCGTGCTAATTGCTCCAGTATGAAGAAGCTTTCTCTCTCCTACTGCATTCATCACGTCCTTTGTCCTCCATATACTCATCGTCCTCTCACAGCATGAGGCTGATTCATAAACTCTCTGAACTAAAGTCACGGACCTCAGGTACTGGACCCACTACTGTTCACTGTGAACCTCAGGGTTCTTCACTGGACCTACTGCTGTTCACTGTGAACCTCAGGGTTCTTCACTGGGCCTACTGCTGTTCACTATGAACCTCAGGGTTCTTCACTGGACCTACTGCTGTTCACTGTGAACCTCAGGGTTCTTCACTGGGCCCACTGCTGTTCACTGTGAACCTCAGGGTTCTTCACTGGACCTACTGCTGTTCACTGTGAACCTCAGGGTTCTTCACTGGACCTACTGCTGTTCACTGTGAACCTCAGGGTTCACAGTTCTTTTTAAAAATTATTATTTTGAAAGTCTGTTGCTCACTGGCAGTGGTGGAGGAAGTCTTCAGACTACGTTGACGCAGCGTGTGGGAGAAGTAGAGATAAACTAAAACAATACAAGCTAACACATGCTACAAAGAAGTGGAGACAAACTGCAGGTTAGTGTTGTGGAAGATGTCGGTCTGAGGAACGTTCTCAAGGTGCGTTCACGTCACTTTTGGTGTGAACGCACCTTTAGGATCTCAATGAATGACGTCACGTATGAGCCTCAAGACACACCGTCACCAGAAGAAGGGTGTCATATTGGGCCACTATTTGTCTCCCATACCTAATCTGACACTTTGCGCCCCTTTAAAGCTGCGCAGTGGTTTTCTGTCGGCTCATCTCGCTGACTGCGCATGCGCATTTAAGAGACCCGTTGAGTTCATTCGACTGGAGCAGCGATGACGACATCCTTTTATTTTTAACGCAGTGACCTCATCTCTTATGGCAGCAGGAGGACTTCACTCTTCTTCTTCTTCTTCTTCCACTTACTCCGCTGAAGAGCCGTTTGGACTTTTTTGACGTCGAGTTTTTTCAATAAACGGTGAGTGGTTTTAAAAAAGTCTCAATCTGGTAAAAGTTCCGTTAAAGTTTAACGGAAAAGACACGAAGAAGAAAAATGTCGTTCACTTTTTTTTTTTTTTTTTTAGTCGGTTGTTTTCATAAGAGTCGGTCTGTCGGTCATTAAACATGGAAACAAAGTAACAAAATGTAGCTAACAGTTAGCTAGCAGTTAGCTAGTTGTTAGCTAACTGCTAATACCAAACCTCATGAATAAAACACATGTTTTAATCATTAATGTTACATAGTTTATATAAACCTGACTCCTCCCTCTTTGTCCCACAGTGTGGATCCACTTCAGCATGAAGACCAGGATCAGGGTTCAGATTGAGGTCTTCAGTTCTGAGTCCAGGAAGAGACTCCAGACACTTTAAACTACAGTCAGGGGAGGGGGGGTCCTGTCTGTCTGTCTGTCTCTCTCTGCCTGTCTCTCTCTGTCTCTGTCTGTCTGTCTGTCTCTCTGGTCTGGGGTTTTTGTGCTGTCCCCCATCAGGATGATGACCTCATACCGGTCTGACACGATTCAGGTCTTCCTCCTCTGAGGTTCCTCTTCAGACCGCCTCACTGAGCTGGACCACCGGAGGAGAGGGGGGGGGGGGGGTAGTCTGACATGTCGGAGTATCCATCAGGACCAGCATCATGGTCTGGGTCCAGGTCTGTGCGGCCCATCGGGTCGGAGGCCCTGGTGGTCCTGCTGGAGGGGGGTCTGGACCGCGTGGTCCTGATCGACAGCCGGCCCTTCGTGGACTACAATGCGTCTCATATCCTGGAGGCCGTCAACGTGAACTGCTCCAAGCTGATGAAGAGGAGGCTGCAGCAGGACAAAGTCCTGATCCAGGAGCTGCTGCAGCACTCAGCCATGAACAAGGTACACACACAGACCAGGACCACACAACCAGGTCCAGGACAAGGTGCCCCCCAGAGACCTGATCCAGAGACCTGATCCAGATGTGCTGCTAACGTTACTAGCTCTCCTGTTGATTTAAACAATGTAACATCATCAGAGATCAGAGACTAGAAACGCATATTTTACTGAATATTGGAGGAGAACCATTGTCAGTAAAACTTTATTTACACTGCGATGGTTAACGTTACACTTTATTTACACTGCGATGATTAACGTTAAACTTTATTTACACTCTGATGGTTAACGTTAACCACCGCAGTGTAAATAAAGTTTAACGTTAGACTGTGAGGGGGTCAGTACAGATCAATAACGTTTCACCTCTAGTCTTAATAATACTGAGGTGAGAATAAATAATAAGAGTAAACCTAACACATAATCATGAGCATCTCTGGTTTCTGTCGCCTCTGGAATAACGACTCTTTATTATTACAGAGGAAACGTTCTCCGTCTGATGAGCTGAATTCTGTGATCAGTGAAGAGAGAACAAGAGTTTTAAAGGACGAGTTGTAGAGCAGCTTCACAGGAAACGTTTTACACACCTGAGCTCTTATTTTGAAGGGAAAGTCCTTATTTATAGTCTCAAATATCATATTGATGTTGGCCTTAAAGATTCAGTATCAGGCCTTTAACTGAATGAGTTTATATGTTTTGGATTTGTATCCAAGGTATTTAGGGTTTAACTGTAATTAAAATATTAGGAAATACATATCGACCCTTCCTTAAGTATTGTTTCTGTAGCAAAACCAACATGGATCAGTATTATATATTGTGACAGCAGATAAATGTCTCTGTGTAGAAATATATAATCAATTATCATAAAATATAACCAACATTCAATGAAACTATTAGGAAAATATTCAGAAATATGGACAAACATTGTAAGAAGTTATCACGACTAGAACATCAATGTTTCCTTCACAGGTCACATGATTAATGTTTGTTATTGTATCAAAGTGTTTCATATATATAATAATAATAATAATGTCTCTGTGTGTTGTAGCTGATCTTAAAGTGTCTCATATATAATAATAATAATAATAATAATAATAATAACAATAATGTCTCTGTGTGTTGTAGCTGGAGCTGCAGGGGGATCAGCAGGTGGTTGTTTATGACCACAGTTCTTCTCTTCCTTCTTCTCTGAGCTCTGACTCGTTCCTCAGCGTCCTGCTGCTGAAACTGGAGAAGAGCTTCACCTCTGTGCACCTGCTCTCAGGTCAGTCTAGTCCCAGTCTCAGGTCAGAGACTAGTCTGTCATTATTCTCAGGTCAGTCCGAGTCAGGAGTCTCAGGTCAGTCCGAGTCAGGAGTCTCAGGTCAGTCCGAGTCAGGAGTCTCAGGTCAGTCCGAGTCACGAGTCAGGAGTCTCAGGTCAGTCCTAGTCAGGAGTCTCAGGTCAGTCCTAGTCAGGAGTCTCAGGTCAGTCCGAGTCAGGAGTCTCAGGTCAGTCCGAGTCAGGAGTCTCAGGTCAGTCCTAGTCAGGAGTCTCAGGTCAGTCCTAGTCAGGAGTCTCGGGTCAGTCCTAGTCCTAGTCGGGAGTCTCGGGTCAGTCCTAGTCACGAGTCAGGAGTCTCAGGTCAGTCCTAGTCTGAGTCAGGAGTCAGATTATTCTGAGTCTAGACACCTGTTATAGAGCTTAGTCAGAGTTAATAAACGACGGCCATGTTGTCTTCAGAGTTGTTTCCTGTCTGATGATCTGAAGGTTTCAGTCTCTCGAGATGAAGAAGTTCATGAGTTCCACCGTCCTCCCTTCTTCCTCTTAGGGTTACGTTATGTAACGATGATGTCATGATGACTCCACCCTCATGAACAAAATGAGGTTACACAACAACAACAGCAGCTGGTCTTTGAACTAAAGAGGAACCATTGACTGTGACTGAAGACTTTAACATTTCATCATCATTCTGACTTTAACTATCAGAATACAACAGTCAAGTTTATTCATTAATTCATCCGCCCCTGAAAATAGTCAACAAAGTCTCTATTCTGTCCTGTCTGTTTATTAATAATCACAGTAAATCACTGATGGAACTATTAGTGTTTTTAAAGATTTACTTCTTCAGTAGGAACCAATGAGCCACAGACAGGAAGTCAGACCGTGTTGAGGGACGGACGAACATGTTGTACACATGAGGATAAATGTAGGCCAAATCCCAATGTCCCCCTTACGGACTCACGGACTTTGAGGCGTGAGAGTTTAGGGATGTCCCGCTGTCACATCATCGAGTGTTTGAGCCTCTCGCAGACATGTTGACCCCTTTATGAACCCTTTCCGTAAGTCAGCATGGTATCCTGACTTAGCCTAAGGGAATTACCCACAAATCATTGCAATGTGACGTTAAACACGGGGTAACCAGTGGACGCATGAAGACGTAAACAAAGAGGACGGCTCACTGTGTTCAGCCTGTCTTATTACATTTGCTCAGAAATATTAAGGGTTAAAGATGGAACAACAAATAAACATGAAATCAGAAGATATTTATTTATTTATTCATCAAATATTTGATTTTGTCATTGAAGCTGTTTTGACAAAAACGAGTAAATAGATGATATGAAGTTACCTCTCATCTAGTGAGGAAAGAGCCTGAAGACGTTCACATCAGGGAGTACAAAGTATACAATAAATACACACAATTATACATCATATTTATTGTAGTTTTCATGGTAACGTGATATGTTGCAGCAAAGTGCTGTCCGTTCATATTCACACCATCTCAAGCCCTCACAGCCTCTCGCACTCACCCACTCACCAGGTGACGTCAGTAAGTCCTTAAAAGTTCAGGGGGGACATTGGGATTTGGCCGTAGACTCATCCTTTAAAGCTGATATGTAAATATTCCATTTTATATATGCAAATTAAATTATAAGAGTTCAAATATTTGAAGAGAAAAGACAAATCTTGTAAAAAGGTATTACTTGTTTAAAAGACAAACGATAACAATAAATACATTTTAATTAAATATCGATGTTTCAGGACTTGATGCCACCTGTTCACTTCATTACAAATACATTTGAACTGTTCTTACTTTACTATCATTAAAAAAAGGTTAATGATAAAGAGTCTAACATGAATAAACAAACGTAACGTTCATGATTCATCTAATGAAGTTATTCGCTCCTTTATTTACATTTTACTTACGTGGACACCAGGCAGCGTCCTCTGCGTTTATGTAATTATTAATAAATAATATTAACATATAAATCTATTATCTTCATGTTGGACCTGCAGAGGATCAATTCAGAGGCTTGTTGCGTCTAATCTGCTGAGAATAAAACAGCAGAAGAAGAAGAAGTCTAAACGTGTGTGTGTGTGTCTGTGTGTGTTGGTTCCTCTGTTCTTCTCAGGTGGGTTCTCCGAGTTCTCCCAGCTGTTCCCAGGTCTGTGTGAGGGGAGGTCCTCTCTGGTTCCATCCTGTATGTCTGAACCATGTCGACCCGTAAGCAGCAGCGGACCGACCCGCATCCTGCCTCACCTGTACCTGGGCTGTCAGAGGGACGTCCTCAACCAGGTAATATAATATAATATAATATAATATAATATAATATAATATGAGTGTGGCCCCAGTGCATGCTGGGAGGCCTCCCACCACACTCAGCCAATCAGAACAGAGCTGTTCTCTGACGTGGTTTTGTATCTCCAGGATCTGATGCAGCAGAACGACATTGTCTATGTCCTGAACGCCAGTAACACCTGTCCCAAACCAGACTTCATCCCAGAGTCCCACTTCCTCAGGGTCCCCGTCAACGACTCCTTCTGTGAGAAGATCCTGCCCTGGTTGGACCGGTCCCTGGACTTCATAGGTCAGAGGACTGGAGGTCACAGAGACGCACCTGAAGGACTCCACACCTGCTCTCACCTTAGAACCTCTTGTGTGTTTCAGAGAAGGCCAAAGCCTCCAACGCTCGGGTCCTGGTCCACTGTCTGGCTGGAATCTCCCGCTCTGCCACCATCGCCATCGCCTACATCATGAAGAGGATGGACATGCCTCTGGATGAGGCCTACAGGTGAGAGGGGCGGGACCACAGACAGGTGAGAGGGGCGGGACCACAGACAGGTGAGAGGGGCGGGACCACAGACAGGTGATGATGAAGCTCCTCCCTCTTTGTGTCCAGGTTTGTGAAGGAGAAGAGGCCGACCATCTCTCCCAACTTTAACTTCCTGGGTCAGCTGCTGGACTTTGAGAAGAGGATCAAGAGTCCTCCGGGTCCTGAGACCAGACTGAAGGCTCATCCGGAGCCCAGCGGTGAGGTTCCCCCTCACCTGGAGGACCAGGATCCTTCAGGTAAGGACCAGGACCCTCTCACCTGTCCGGAAGCCCCCATGGAGCCCCCTATGGAGCCCCTCATGGGGCCCCTCATGGAGCCCCTCATCTTTCCTTGTGTCCTGGCCGACGCCCCCGAGGAGCTCCGGCTGGCCGAGGCTCTGAGCGTCCTTCAGCTCTCCGACGGCCCCGAGGACAACGCCCGTCTGAAGCGCTCCTTCTCTCTGGACATCAAGTCATACGGCGAGCCGGCCTTTGTCCCTCACGGAGGACCGGGAGACGGCGAGTTCTTCAAACCGTCCGGCTTCAAAGAGCCGACCAGTAAACAGTGCCAGTTCTCCCCGGTGGAGGAGGTGTCGGAGCAGAGCCCCGACAAGGAGGAGGTCCAGTCCTCCTCCGTCTTCACCAAACCTCCGCCCGCCGCTCCTAACTGCTGGCACCCTCTACAGCGGAGCGGCAGCGTGGAGGAGAACGCCACCAGCTTCCTGTTCGGCCTCTCCCGCAGCCAGCAGCACTTGGCCAGACCAGGACCAGGACCCGGAGGGACCCTGAAGGGCTGGCACTCCGACATCTTGCTGGGCCCCGTCTCCTCCTCTCTGGCCGGCGGCTGGTACCTCTCCCCTGAGTCCGCTCGCTTCTACTCCACCTCCGCCATCCTGAGCGGCGGCGGCGTGGCGGCCTACGGATGCGGCGGCGGCGGCGGCCTGGAGGCGGTGCGGCGGCGCAGCCGGCAGAGGACGGGGGACCGAGGAGACTCGAGGAGGAGCTGGCATGAAGAGAGCAGCTTTGAGAAGCAGCTGAAGAGACGAAGCTGTCAGATGGAGTTTGGAGACGGGAGGATGGACAGCAGGTCCAGAGAAGAGATGATGGGGACGGGGGGGAGTCAGTCCAGCTTCTCCGGCAGCATGGAGGTCATCCAGGTCTCCTGATCCTGGTCCTGGTCCTGGTCCTGGTCCCGGTCCTGGAATCTGACCGGAGCTATGTGGTGCAGCACACATCGGCGTCTGCTCACTCCGACAGGAAGTGACATCAGGACGTTCTGACCCAAACTATGTTTGAAAAGTGTTGCATTCTGGGGTTGTTTTTAGCCTTGATGTTGCTAAGCTAACAGTCTGTTGTCTCCAACAAAAGGAACTAAATCATCAATGAGGACGAGACGTTTCATGATTGTTTGACTTCATGCGGAACAAAGAAACATTAATCAGAACAATAAACTGATTCACAAACATAAAGGCAACCATTTGTTTATCTTCAGTTGATGTTTTGATTTGAATAAAATCTTGTTTATAATAATTAAATATAATGAAAGCAGCATCAGATCTTACTAAATATCTCTATCATTCATATAAATACTCCACGTGAACTCATCACAGGAAGTCTGGAGGGAATCAAGCTGCAGGAGTCTGCTCACCTGTGAAGACGAAGATGTCTCTGATTGTGTTGCAGTAAAAAGGACGACTTTTTACTGACTGACTCTTTCAACGTCTCGTCTGGAGGAGACGCTGCTGGTCACCTGTCTGCATCATCCTCGTCATCATCATCAGTGATGATGACGAGGATCTGAACTCAGATCAGGTGAGCAACGTGTCACAGCTCATGTAGCAGAACGAATCTGATGATTAAAAGTGTTGAAACAAAAAGACTCTGTTTTACAGGAAATTAAGAAGTAAGTTCCATGTTTACATGCCTCCACCTGCCTCCACCTGTCTCCACTTGCCTCTACTTTTCTCCACC